CCCTGCCATAGATGTGGCAACTGGTTTATCTATAACCTGCCCTCCAGTCTGTGTTGCTGTTGGCTGCCTGCCTTGTGGGATGCATATATTTGAAATGTTCTCCTGTGCACTTGAAAATAAAGGTAAGACACCAGTGTCTCTCCAAGGGGAACTAGAAACAGGATACCAGGGCACTGCTTAACATGAGTGGGAACAGAAAAGCTGATGCAGGAGGCCTGGGTCACAGAGGTTTGGTTCCTGTCGGGAGACTTGGAATCGATGGGGACATGTGTCTTAGGAGTCAGAAACAGGAATCTGAATTTCTGGAAGTACATTTGTGCTGAGAGGTACACAGGGCATGACTCCTGCATGGATGGTTGCAAATGAGCGACTTGCAAATGAGCCACTTGGGGAACTTGCAGCAGAGCCTCTGCTGTCCTCCATGGTTTTCAGCTTAAAGGTCAGGAAGCTAACCCAGTGGCTGATCAGTGACACTGGAGCCAAGGACCTCATGGCATCACAATAATGCAGGGCCATTCTGAGTATACCCTCCATTCTTTACTTCTCTCTGAGTGCCATTCCTTCCGATGCATGTGGCTGTTCGATGGGTAATGCGCCTGTGGTTGCCCATGGAACTGAGAACACTAACCTCCTCTCCAAAGTAGTTTATCTGAGGATAGTAGGAGACTTCCATCTGAGTTATTCAGGTCATAGTAGACCACAGCTTTATCCACAAGGGCTGATGTTTAGGGAAAATTAGTCTGAGTCTTCGTGTGTGTGTGTGTGTCTGTGTGTTTGTTGGGGATTGAACCCAAGTGTGCTCTACTACTATAGAGAACTTCATAGAATATGGCTTATAAATCCTTGTAAAATTTTAAAACCCAACAGTCAAGAAACCTAAAGGAAGGTTGGACGTGTACCCAAGAGTTTGATGCAATAGATAAAATTATAAATGTAAGATTTTCTGCAATTCCAAACCCCAACACCTGTCATCTAGTGGGCCTGCAGACTCCAAATGGTTCATAGCAGACACCTTCACTCTGCTGTCTCTGGTACCCAGGTGATAAGCAGAGCCAACACTGTTGCCTTCTGAAAAATCAGCAATAAACCCAGACTGGGAATCTACAAGTGTGCCCTGAAACCCCACATCACCCCTCTCAGGCATCACGCCAAGACCTCTCAACCATACAATGTCCTAGAAA